ACTGACTTACCTGAGAGGTCACTGACTTACTTGGGAGGTCACTGACTTACCTGAGAGGTCACTGACTTACTTGGGAGGTCACTGACTTACCTGGGAGGTCACTGACTTACCTGGGAGGTCACTGACTTACTTGGGAGGTCACTGACTTACCTGAGAGGTCACTGACTTACCTGGGAGGTCACTGACTTACCTGGGAGGTCACTGACTTACTTGGGAGGTCACTGACTTACCTGGGAGGTCACTGACTTACCTGGGAGGTCACTGACTTACCTGGGAGGTCACTGACTTACCTGAGAGGTCACTGGGGAGGTCACTGACTTACTCTGGGAGGTCACTGACTTCCTGGGAGGTCACTGACTATCTGGGAGGTCACTGGACTTACCTGGGAGGTCACCATTCTACCTGGAGGTCACTGACTTGCCCTGGGAGGTCACCACTGACTTACCTGAGAGGTCATCAACGCATGACTAAAAATACTCCACACTTAATTATTGTGATGACATTACCTGAGGAGACAGACAGGAGTAAGGACAGAGATGAGAGAGAGACAGTGAGAGATGAGAGAGAGAGGGAGAGACGTTGATAGATGAGAGACGCTGAGAAGTGAGAGAGAGAGAGAGAGAGAGAGAGAGAGAGAGAAAGAGAGAGAGAGAGAGAGAGAGAGAGAGAGAGAGAGAGAGAGAGAGGACAAAGAAAGAGAGAGAGAGAGAGAGATGGGGAGAGAGAGAGAGAGAGAGAGAGAAGTTGGATGGCGGGGATTATTAATTGAGAGAGAGATGACAGAGCACACTGAGAGATACCATGTAGAGCGGAAGAGAAGAGGTGAGAGAGGGAGAGAGGGAGGGTGGAGGAGAGGGAAGGAGAGAGGGTGGGGAGATAAAAGAAACGTGAGGAGAGGAGAAGTGAGGATGATGAGAGGGGTGGGGGGGAGGGAGAGGGGGTGGGGGAGGGAGAGGGGTGGGGGAGGATAGGAGGGGAGGGAAGAAGGAGGAGGGAAGGAGATAAGAGCTACAACTGACACACCACAATTAAAATGCAACATGACACTATTTTTTTTAATTAATCACTACGACGTAACATAAATATTCTTTCACCATTTATAAATAACTATTCGTCGTGTGTGTGTGTGTGTGTGTGTGTGTGTATTGTGTGTATGTCAGTGTGTCAGTGTGTGTGTGTGTGTGTGTGTGTGTGTGTGTGTGTGTGTGTGTGTGTGTGTGGCAATCTTTCTCTATATCGTTTATTCATGGAGGCTTTTACTCTCTGCTATATGTTGAAGACTACCAACTCACTGCCTATTAAAATTTTCACATTCATTTATTTTACATGGAATATTTATTTTATTTTTAATGGAAGATCATTCGTTAATTGTATATAAAGTAAATAACAAAGGCTAAACTTAATCATTCAGGAAATAAAATAATAAAAGTTTGTTTGATATGATAAAAATAATGAGTAAACTTGGAACAAAAATCTTGGTTAATTGAAGAAAATGAAATGGTATAAAGTGTGAAGTAAATAATAAAAATATGTTTTAGAAATACAAGACAAATATTTGACGATTTTTAATTACAATATTGTTTTAACTTGTAGTGTGTGTGTGTGTGTGTGTGTGTGTGTGTGTGTGTGTGTGTGTGTGTGTGTGTGCATTCAACGAAATAAAAAAATAACCAAGTCTTAAGTCCTATAGGAGCTGATATAAATAATTTGCTGCAAGTTATAAATATAATCTAGGAAAAACAGTTGTAGTCTGGTTATAAATTGTTGTTGTTGTTGATTATACGGACGAATCTCTATAATATCCATCAGAAAATTAAATACGATTATATGATTGAATTATAAGAATAAGAATATAAATGTGTTACTTGTGTCAGGTGAACATGGGAGTGTTACCTGGTGGGAGGGGCTTGGGGGAGGGGAGGGGCGGGGCGGGGCATTACAAAGTGTTCCCTGGAAGAGCTTGGATAGCGACCGTGGGAAAAATGTGGTGACCGTGGGAAAAATGTGGCGACCGTGGGAAAAATGTGGTGACCGTGGGAAAAATGTTATCACCATGGGAAAAAAATAGACAACCTTGGGGAAATTTTTAACAAAAGTGGGGAAATTTTAGCGACCATAGGAGAAAAATATAGACAACCTTAGGGAAAATTTTGACAACGTTGAGGGAAAATTTAATGACCATAGGGAAAAATTACACAACCTTGGGAAAATTGTAGCAAGTGTGAGGGAAAAAGCTTGAGAGAAAAGTTTGGCAAGAGAGGGAGCAAACGACGTGTGTGTGAGATTATATTCAAATTCCTAAGTATAAGTTAAGAATTTCCTCAAGGTATAATATATTTAGAATAATGGTATGGTGTGTGTGTGTGTGTGTGTGTGTGTGTGTGTGTGTGTGTGTGTGTGTGTGTGTGTGTGAGCCTTGAGGTATTATACTTTGCTGAAAACTCGATATTTACAAATATTTATGATACTACAGAATAAAAATAATAATAACAATAATATTTCAACAACTACAACAACAACAAAACAACAACAACAACAAACAACAGTAACCAATAAACATTTTCAACACAACACAAATACAACACAATATATTAATGTTTATTTCCTATCCCATACAACACAGTGTTTTATCCCGGTTACTGTACATACGAGTTATTTTTCCCAGGACGAACATTTCCATTATATTACACAGGCCATGGATCAATATGCTATAATCTGGGTTACTGCCAACGTGTGTAAAAATTAACATGGGAATGTGTGTGTGTGTGTGTGTGTGTGTATTAATGAAGGATATATTACATACAGTGAGCGTGGCTGTAGCTAATTAAGGGCCATTAGTAGATACGTGATGGCGATGTTGACCAATAATCTCTCTCTCTCTCTCTCTCTCTCTCTCTCTCTCTCTCTCTCTCTCTCTCTCTCGCATTGCCTTCAACTCCTCTTTTCATTCCTCCTTCCTTCCTTCCTTCCTTCCCTCTATTCATACCTCCACCCACCTTCACCTGTCGCCCTCCCTCCCTCCCTCCCTCCCCCCTCTCCTTCCCTCCTTCCCCTTCTCTCCCTCCCTCCCTCCCCCCATCTAAGACAGGGATTATTGTAGCCGGGTTCTGAGATCTGTTTACAATCTGACAGCGGGGGAGGAGAGGGTAGGGGAGGGAGAGGGGAGTAGGAGAAGGTAAGGAGGGGGAGGGAGAGGGGAGTAGGAGAAGGTAAGGAGGGGGAGGGAGAGGGGAGTAGGAGAAGGTAAGGAGGGGGAGGGGAGATGGGAACATAGTGAAGGAGAGGAGAGGAGAGAAGGAATTATTGGCACTGTATCTGGCACTTGTCTTAACGCACAGGGTTACCACTACCACCATCACCACCACCATCTACCACCACCATCACCTACCACCATCATCTACCACCACTTACCACCACCACCTCAGACACAATCGTAAAACCATTTCATCTTATTTTTTTCTTTCTTTTTTCGTTCCTTACCTGAAGCTCCATAAAGGGACTTGGGAAGATGATGTTGTTATTATGACGTAAACATCGGCTCCTGAGTTCTCGTGTTGAGTTTAAAAGGTAAAAATGTACAATAGGTCTTTCAATTGTTTTTGTTTTTCAGTTTTTTGTGGGGAGGGGAGGGGGTAGGTTTGTCGTGTTGTGTTTGAGAGATGCGAGAGATAAAAGAGAATTTGTGAACAGAGAGAGAGAGAGAGATGGAGTTGTCCCGAACTGTTGTCCCGCTGCTCTGTTTGTCTCTGTTACCCCGTTTCCTTGTTGCTCTGTTGTCCCGTTCTCCCTGTTACCCCCTTTCTCTGTTGCTCTGTTATCCCGTTGCTCTATTACCCCGTCTCCCTGTTGTCCCGTTGTCCCGTTGCCCTGTTGCTAGTGTAGGGAGGAGCAAGGTGGGAGGAGGAAGCCGTCCACAGAGCGAGACTCAATTACAAGTAATGTAGACTGTTTCCCTTACCAACACCCCACGACATGTTTAACGCTTTTTCTTGTGTGTGTACCTGTGTGTGTGTGTGTGTGTGTGTGTGTGTGTGTGTGTGTGTGTGTGTGTGTGTGTGTCTGTCTGTCTGTCTGTCTCTGTGTCTGTGTGATTGCTTATGAACGTAACTCTGTGTGTGTGTGTCTCCTCTCTTCCTCTCCTCTCCTCTTCCTTTCCTCTCCTCTTCCTCCATCATTCGAGGTTTTCTCTGTCTCCCGCCGTTTACTCCAGCTCAAACAGTTGGAGGAATAAGAAATAGCGGAGATGTGGGATTGGAGTTGTTACTTGAAGCGTGGGCAGTCTCGAGGACTATGTTGATAGATGGAGAGTGTTTGAGAGGACTGTGGCTCAATCTCCTGTTTTGTGAGTGTGGTAATATGTCTTCCTGTGTGTGTGTGTGTGTGTGTGTGCACGCGTGTGTGTGTGTGTGTGTGTGAACGCGACTATGTACAGTAAACGTGTATGTATGTGAACGCTTGCTTTACTATGCATGTGTATACGGTATGTATGTGTGCGTGTGAGTGTCTGTGTTTGTGTGTGTGTGAACGTGAGTGAGTGTGTCTGTGTGTGTTTGTGTCCAGGATTCCCACAGGCATTGAGAATCCTGGAAGAGTTATGGAAACAAATGTCATTATGGAAAATCTTGAAAATATCTTGAAAAATCTGGCCAAAACGAACCAATCACAAGAAAAGAACATTAAATCTTTTGTTGAACAGGACACCATACAGTAACCACCCTCCTACAGTGACCACCCTCCTACAGTGACCACCTTCCTACAGTGACCACCCTCCTACAGTGACCACCCTCCTACAGTAACCACCCTCCTACAGTGACCACCCTCCTACAGTGACCACCTTCCTACAGTGACCACCTTCCTACAGTGACCACCTTCCTACAGTGACCACCCCTGGTTATACAAACATCACACTATAACCTAAACATAACTTCACTACAACACAAACTATAACCCACAACTTCTCCCAAACAACATTAACGTGCCCACCATCTTGATTCTTGCAGACGGTGACGAAGTGAGTTCAGGCCACCACCAGCAGGCAGGTACTCCCAGATGACCCGGCTGCTCCTCTTCCTCCTCCTGCGGCTACTGGTCACCCCCTGGCGTGAGGTCAAGGCCGCTGCTCTGCCAGGTCCGTCAGTGTCATTACTTCTCTTGTTAACTATAATCATCGCGTCATTACTTCATCACACTAATGACCCGAGGCTGTTATTATTATTATTATTATTATTATTATTATTATTATTATTATTATTATTATTATTATTATTATTATTATTATTAGTAGTAGTAGTAGTAGTAGTAGTAGTAGTAGTAGTAGTAGAAGTAGTAGTAGTAGTAGTAGTAGAAGTAGTAGTATAGTACAGAAACTAGTTTGAGAAATATATAACTTAAATAGTGCTTGAAATATATTAAACTGGTTCGCGAAACCTATCAGACAAAATAGATAATAGGAGAGAGTGAAGTATAAAGTACCCGACATCACGGAACTATTGACAAAAATATATATCATGTGATCGCTGCCCTGAATTTTAATACAACGATCATTATTTTGTTTATGGAGACAATATATTATTTTTTTTTGCTGACATATTTTTCAAAATTTTCTGATGCAGATGGAATTTATATTGTGTGATAAAGTGAAGTGTATTGTTTAAAATATTTGTAGTGATTTTATACATACATACATACATACATACATACATACATACATACATACATACATACATACATACATTAAGGGAAAGTTAGGTCAGGTTAGAACAGGTCAGACAGGTCAGCACAGGTCAGCATAGATCAGATTAGGTCAGGACAGGTTAGAACAGGTCAGGGCAGGCCAGAATAGGTCAGGACAGGCCAGAACAGGTCAGGTTAGGAGGGGAACCAAAACCCACAGGAAGGGAGAGAAGATTTATGATGATTTTACCGCAGCGTAACACGATAACAGCAGAGAGGGTGAGTGAAGGGAGGAAGAGGAAGAGGAAGAGGGGAGGCGGAAGAGGGGAGGCGGAAGAGACGAGAAGGATGAAAGGTGGGTGAGGAGGGGGAGGGTGAGGGTGAGGATAAAGAGAAGGGTGAGGGAGAAAAGAAGGGGGGAGGGTTTGAGAAAGGGGAAGGGGTAGTTAGTAATAGTGGCAGATAGGAAGAGGGAGGAAGAAGGGAGAGAGAGTATGAGAAAGAAGAGTGACAGGAGGAACGGAAGAAGAGAGGGGGAAGGAGTAGGAGAAGAGAGGGTGACAAAGAGAGGAGCGGGGAAGAGGAAGGCAGGGAGGGAAAGGGGCAGGTGGCGGACGGAAGGATAATGAAGAACGATAGAAAGATAGAGACAGACAGACAGACAGATAGACAGACAGATAGACAGACAGACAGACAGACAGACAGAAATAAAGGAAGAGAGGTAAAAATATAAAAATAGAGGCAAAAAGAGAGAAAAAAGGAGAGCGAGAGAAAGAGAATTCTCCTCTCTCCATTTTCTCTCTCACTTCCAACTCATGTAATAATTTTTGAGAGCTGTCAAGGACCTGGGTCGAAGGGCGTCCACCTGAGAAGCCAGATTCAGATTCTGATTGTTGATTCAGATTCTGATTGTTGAGTTAGGTTCCCTGTTCTTATTTGTCGTCTTCAGCAACGCCCACTAGTCATAGAAAATCGTTAACTGGTGTTTGTCTGAGGAAGGACGGCGCTACCTCAGTATATTATGGTATCGTACACACTTAATGTTCTAACCTGTCCCAGTAGAGAGGAGACGATCGAGGAAATGCCAACTGACAGATAATAGAGGTAATTAGGAGACAGGTAATGACCACGAGCAGGTGAGCAGGGAAGAATGTTACAGGTTATATGAGAGGCGATCACCCACTAGTGTAGTGATGATGATGATGATGATGGAGGTGGTGGTGGTGATGATGATGGTGATGATGATGATGATGGTGATGATGATGACGATGATGATGATGATGGAGGTAGTGATGACGATGATGATGATGATAATGGAGGTGGTGGTGGTGGTGATGATGATGATGATGATGATGTGAATATATATATATATATATATATATATATATATATATATATATATATATATATATATATATATATATATATATATATATATATATATATTCAGTATATACACATGAGCCATGGAGAGAGAGGGAGGGAGGACCAATATGACCAGTGCACTACTCTGGCTCTCCAATATGGGGGGCAGACAGTATGACGGGAGGCACCTGTGGGTGAGTGACGGCGCCTCAAGTGGTGATATTCTCCTCGGCCGGGCACCAATACCGGTCTCTCTTACAGCCGCCGCTTCTGCCACCCAGTTTTATCTTGTGCATCAGGCAAGACGTGGATATTGGCCCAGGCCTTCGCTCCGTCCTGATTGGATGTTGATCTAAGCTTCTTGACGGCCATTGGGTGATCGCGTTAGGATCTTGATGCTCACTGGATGACAGCAGAATCTTGAAGTTCATTGGATGATATTACCAGAATCTTGCCAGTCATTGAATGAGAACGCAGACTCATTGACGCTAATTGAATGAGAGTACACGGACCTTGCCTCTGACTGGATAGAATCTCGTGCATCTTGCCGATGATTGACTGAGAGCGGAGGCAGGTTGAAGCTAATTGGATGACGCCTCCAGGCCGCATCTTGTGAGTTATGACACAGTGATGGTCTTAACTTGTAGTGGATGTAGTTGCCAACTTAACTTAACCACGACTAACTTGACTTAACACGTGTTTTACACTCCTCCTGGTGTTGACACTCACTGTCTCACACCTGCAAAATATGTGGCGACTCTCCTCACACCTCATAACCCACGTCCTCACACCTCATAACCCACGTCCTCACTCCTCATAACCCACGTCCTCAACACCTCATAACCCACGTCCTCACTCCTCATAACCCACGTCCTCACACCTCATAACCCACGTCCTCACACCTCATAACCCACGTCCTCACTCCTCATAACCCACGTCCTCACACCTCATAACCCACGTCCTCACCTCATAACCCACGTCCTCACCTCATAACCCACAACCTCAACACCTCATAACCCACGTCCTCACCTCATAACCCACGTCCTCACACCTCATAACCCACGTCCTCACACCTCATAACCCACGTCCCTCACTCCTCATAACCCACGTCCTCACACCTCATAACCCACGTCCTCACCTCATAACCCACAGTCCTCAACACCTTCATAACCCACGTCCTCACACCTCATAACCCACGTCCTCACCTCATAACCCACGTCCTCACCTCAACCCACGTCCACACCTCATAACCCACGTCCTCACCTCATAACCCACGTCCTCACACCTCAACCCACGTCCTCACCTCATAACCCACGTCCTCAACACCTCATAACCCACGTTCACCTCATAACCCACGTCCTCACACCTCATAAACTCCACGTCCTCACTCCTCATAACCCACGTCCTCAACACCTCATAACCCACGTCCTCACCTCATAACCCACGTCCTCACACCTCATAACCCACGTCCTCACACTCATAAACTCACGTCCTCACACCTCATAACCCACGTCCTCACACTCCATAACCCACGTGTCCTCACCTCATAACCCACGTCCTCAATTCTCATAACCCACGTCCACACCTCATAACCCACGTCCTCACATTCATAACCCACGTCCTCACACCTCATAACCCACGTCCTCACACCTCATAACCCACGTCCTCACACCTCATAACCCACGTCCTCACACCTCATAACCCACGTCCTCACACCTCATAACCCAAAAACACGAAAAAAATATCAAATTTATACTAAAAATACTCTTAATTAGACAAGGTCATTTAGCACCATTTAGAGGACAACATTTACATAGATAATCTTTCCAAATATCCTGCATGGTAATTTTGTCTGGTGTTAAGTGAACGTATCTAGTTCAGGTCGAGTTTTAATGTAATGTTAATGTTGATTTTATCGTTAGGTTAGGTTAGGTTAAGTTCTGTAAGGGCTAAGTGTTTATACAGCTCTTTTGACACCTATCCGTATCATCACAAAAGCTGCGGCTGACAATAATGTGTTTACTCGCTTCCATCCAACTGTTTGTGTGTGAGGACTGTCTCATGTTGAGGGGGGTAGAGAGAGAGAGAGACAGAGAGAGAGAGAGAGAGAGAGAGAGAGAGAGGGGGGGGATGTAAAATGTAAAGGTTAGAGAGAGAGAGAGAGAGAGGAACGGAGTGAGTTAAGATGTAGAGAGAGAGAGAGAGATAGAGAGTGAATCTCGGACGGAGGGGCGGGCGTCTTGAGAGCTCTTATGTATGAAGTGATTAAAGAGAGAGAGGAAGGTCACAAGTCTTTAAAGCTTAGAGCTGCTTAATTAAGAGTCATGTATGGAAGAGAAGAGTCTTTATGGAGGGTATTTAACGGTACATATAAGGTGGGGTCTTTAAACAAACACAGACGACCCCGCCCCACCCCACCTCGACCCACCCACTCCCACTCCTGTTTCACCCACCCCACCACCCCACCCCACCCCACCCCACTCCCACCCCACCCCGCCCCACCCCACCCCAATATGGTGGTCTAGTATGGCCAAGAGAGAACATAATAAGTATGTGTTGGCAGCCAAGGTCAGTGTGTTATTCTCCAGGTCATATTTACCGTCTCCATTAACTCCAGGCATGAATATTGGCTCTCTCTCTCTCTCTCTCTCTCTCTCTCTCTCTCTCTCTCTCTAACCTGATTCGATGTTGATGAAAGCCTCTTCACGCTCTTTGGAGGCTGTGAAGCGCATCTCGTATATCATTGGCTGACATTACAGGCAACTTAACGATCACTGAATTCAGGCATGTTGACAGTCATTGGATTATAACAAACTTATCTTGAAGCTGATTGGTTGAACGTATACACACATCTTGATAATGATTGGCTAATAGAAGGAAGGTGAAGATGATTGGATGAAATAATGGAGTAGCGGTAAATTGTCTTATGGATTTGTTTTCAAAAGAATTAAATTATTTTTTGTGGTTTGTTATCCAGACCAGACCTGGCATTAGTGTCTTAACCTAACCTAACCTAACCTAACCTTACCTAACCTAACCTAACCCAACCTAAACATAACATAACATAACATAACATAGACGAACCCAAAC